CTCTAGAGATCAACATCATTTTGACGAAGTAAATCTAATTTAACAGAATTTTATATCAACAAGTGTCACGAATGAGGGTTTTTCTTGATAGTCATACCAACGTTTTAAAACGCAAACTAACAGATATGTTCCATTACTTTTTTTGAATTATTTACGCAAATGTACTTGTAACATGTAATTTTATACTTTCAATAATTGAAATACTAAAACTGTACAAAAATGAATAAAAAATTAATATCTAGAGGTCATTGCTCGATCAGAGTGAATTTTCTATATCCAATTCAAAGTCTAGTCAAATTCGTTTATTTTTAATTTAGAATAATTCACGAAACTTGATCGCTGCAAAAACACGAAACATCGAAACTGTTACATCTATTTTTTATGCAATAATTTGGTATGCGTTTGTAATCGTCTAACGGTTAATGACAGATAGAGCTTGTTTAAATTACTGAGATGAATTAATCATTTTCTTTCGTCTACCATGAGTAAACTCAACATTCAGAAGTCAAGCTTCGCTAATTACAGAACATTTTGACTTTTATTGAAAGGCAAAAGCAGAAAGAATTTGGATAATTGCTTCATCAACGAATACTTAACATTTTACGTTATAAAATAAGCTAAATATTTGATGATGACTAATCTCTTTTTTCGCATGAAAGAAAACTAAATAACCAGCTGATTTATGCATGATAAAACTCCATAGTAATTCGTAAAAAAGTTAACAATTAATCAAAAATGAAATCTTCTTTCTTTTACCCTTCAGATGAGTTCAGGCTTTGTTTTGCAACTATATCCTATTGCATGCTTACTATACAAGTGAGTTGATATTTTTTCCACTTGTAACTTTAATTAAAAATATTTTATGATGTTTGGAGGAAATGTTTTAGAATTTGTCTAGACCAAATTTTTTCGATTCTTAAAATATCGTCGATATCGGTAATTTTATAGAATAAGTATAATACGATCAAACTTACTGAAAGTCTTCCAAGACAAACAAACTTAACGCACGCATTATTTTTTTCTTCTTTCTCAAGCGAGATCTAGCCACGAGAAAATAACTTTCCCCTCTCGGCAATAATCACACAACGAAGAACAAAGCGTCGGAGGACTATGAAAAAAATAAAATAAAATTACAGGATTTGCACTGGAGCAACGTGTACGAACACTAAGGCGAGCTCGGCATCACTGGCACCGGCTGATAGGCGGCTGCGGCTGCTCCGGCTGCGGCGCCGCGAGCCGAGGCGAGGGTGGAAACAGCTCGGGCGCGCAGCAGAAAAGGAGGCAGGCTTGCGGCGGTGGCGGCGCGCGGGAGTCTCTCGTGTACGCGTGCACAGTACATACGCATATAATGTACAGATATACAATACAGGAGCTGGCGCAGAGCAGCATCAATCGTACGTTACAGCGGCGGCCGCGTCTCTCGCGCTGCTGGTGGCACAGTGATCGATTTCGCCTATATTACGCCGGCGCGCAATTTTCCACACGTAGATGCTGTGCGTATACATGTATACGCTCGTGCACCGGCGCCGCGCGATGAACTTACCCCGCCGCAGCAGCTGCTTTTGAAAATCAGCAACTGCAGCAGCAGCAGCAGCCTCCACCCCATCGGCAGCAGCAAGACCACCCGTCGCCACTGCTATTACGTGCGTGTATAGCAGATAACGATGTCGCGGCGCCTTATGTTTGTTTATGTGCTCGCGCAATATTCGGTATTTCATAATTGAAAATAACGCGCGATGCTTTTATATAAGTAAACTCTTGCCACCTTCGATTCGCGCATTAAAGTTTATTTAGAAAAATAAGATGTTTAGGATTCTTAATGAATACTTAGATAGAGCACGCGCAATTCCACTTATTTATCGAATTCGCGCAGCCTAACTGCTCCTGCCGCAAGGACAATAGACGACAATTGATTTTTCCCCCGTCTACGTACGTATGCGTACCCTTCGCTTGATATTCGGTCAATTAAACAAAATACGTGCTCCGAGATACGTACGTATGTTGCCCGCGGAACACATGTACACCGTGATTGTCGGAAGTCAGCTGTTGGCCAACTTTTTATTAAATAGGATAAAAATAATAGTCGCAAAATTTTTCGGGTACTCGAAGTTTTTCGAGTACTCGCAATATATTTAAGTTTTAAGTAAATAAATGATGAATTAACAGTCTCTAGACCGCTCCTTTTGTGTGTACGTGCTTATAAGCACAGCCCTAATATGCATACGGGAGTGATTTTATTCACGGAAGCTACCCGAGAGAAATACGTGTCGATGTACATGTCAGCGATACTATATATGGGTTCGAGGCTCTCACGCATCTTCGAGATCAGCCGGTTAATCAAGAAGCCGACGTATTATATCACACTTACGCTACGTGCGTAGATGCATATAATACACCGTAAGCCCCGCGTTGCGTCACATTTGCGAGGATCCATTCAATTATTCCGATTGCCGGCTCATGAGCTTATTTTTTGGCGGCGGCGGTGTAATCGACGACGCTACTCCCGATGACGCAGGAATAGATATTAATGATCGAGCCCCGAGCTTTGCGTGACTTTCACGTATTTCTCTTAAAGATCTCGGCGTCGTCCAACCATTTCAACGATGAATCTAATAGGGTTATTAATGTCACAAGTTCGATTGTTCTTTTCAAACGGATACACGGAGTAGCATCGAACATTACACTGACCTATTATATTTCACGAAGAAGATGCGGCTGGTATGATAACAACGAAAAGATGCCCATCTCGAAGGAATCTAAGCCGTAAACCGTTTCAAAGAGAGAACACGCAACGCACTCGTGTATACGGAACTTCTTACCCAGAATACAGAGCTGATTCCGCTTCATTTCTTCAATTTTTTTCTTCTTTTTTTCTTTCTTTTTTTTATTCTTTTCTTCTCGTTGCAGCAGAATGACGAGGATGCAATGCTTTTCTCAAACGCGCACCCACACCGGGTCAAAAGCCATAGCCATGCCCCCGAGATCACATACACTTCGACAATGGAATTTTTTTTCCTTTTCCGAGTACATGGAGATAAAGAAGCAAGGACGCTCGCGGAATTTTTTATGCGTACTTGCATATCAGAGTGTATGCGCGCGTGTGCGTGTGGGTTCACAAGCGAGGGTCCACGCGCAACGTGCATATAAAAACTTCTATCATTAGTTCAACGAGAAATCAAAGAAGCGAACGCGATAAAAGCTATGGACAAGGTTATGAAAAGATATCATCTTTTGCGCAAACCAAATAAGAAGAAGCGAGCGGAGGAGAGTTCAAAATCTGATTTTTCGTTCAAGAGCAAGTCAATTATAACTACATCCTATTGGTATACACGTAGTATAAGGTAAAAATAGATTTGCGATTATTGAATGAATATACGTATACATCGAAAAAATGAATCGGCGTTAAGAATACTTGAAGAAATGAGCGAGAGAAATTCGAAAGGATATGGCGAAGACACGTACATGAGTATATGTGAAGATAGCTTGGAGACCTATATAGCGCGTGACGCGTGTCGGAGCCGATGCAAACTATATGTGCGGGAGAGACGCCGAGCGTAGAGTAATTGTACATACACGCGTATATCGATTCCCATCCCTGAAAGCCGAGAATCTCTCTGTGTATATGAAAGATCCCGCCTGGGTGTCATCTGGCGCGCACGCAAATGTTTTACCATCGTCGCCCATGCAGTGCAACTTTTTTTTTTATTCATATAACGCGTAGTACGTACGCGTCAGAGATATGACGTACTTAGTTATGTTTTACGTGCTTCGAATTATTTTCCCCCGAGTTCATTGATTCGATGTAGTTTTTGTAATTCTATAAAATCCTTTGGATGACGTTGATTACGCCTAGCCACGCGATGAATTTCGCTCGCAAGATCTTTATGATTTCGATCGCGTCCCGTGTTCCGTCGCGATCGCCTCGGGTAAGGCAAAGCCACTGCCAAAATCTCGGCAACGCTTAGCGCGCGTCGATTTTCGGAAGTTCGAGCGCGCGGCCTAGCGGCCGAAGATTGCGTCGCGCGCTATTGAGAGCCGCTCGCGTTATACATACCGCACAGCAGCAGCAGCAGCAGCAGCACGATCTGCGTCAATGTGCACCGATTCTATTTCCGGATGTAAATTCAAGACTCTACGATTCGCGCGCGCATCTCTTATGTGCGGCTTTGCGAGCTATGTGTATGTTCTTTTTTTTTCATCTTTCTTACGTCCCGAGTCAGATACTCGTAGCAACCCGTGCGTGTAATAATTTTTTTCTCTCTCGTGACACGCATATATTTATGGCTCTATCGTCGATGCTGCGCGTATATTAAAATTCAATCGATCGATACATTTTCGCTTTTTTTGCTTGAGAAGGAAAAACGTGCACAAAAAAACTGCACATTACTTACAATTAAAATGTAAAGAAATATTTCTCTAATCCTAATTTTTGATGTAACAATTAAATAAAGTTCATAAAAGTGTAGAAATGAATAATAATATTTAACTGTACGTCGATATTATTTGCTTAAATAATTGATAGTATATGTTCAATTTTTTCTTTATCACTTTTATAAAAAGAATGTGAATTTATTGTGTATCCTTTTTTGATTTTTACCATTTATTTCTGCTGCACACTGTATTAAACTTTATATTATAAGATTTAATAATGTTTTATTAATGCTGGATGGAATTCAACACAATCGGAAAGCGAATAATCTCAAAATCATAAAATTTTCATCAGTTTACTTGAATGGTATACGATGAGAATGCTAATAATAGATCAAATGCATGAGAGTTATTGTACGAGTAAAATTTCTCGTCGATTTTTCCATTTTTTCTAAACGTCTCAATTCGTTTGGGTTAGAAACTACTGACTACTTGAGTATTTTTTTTTTTTTTTTATCGAACTTTACGAATAATTTACTAAAAATGCAGGATCGAGAAAAAAAGCATGTAAGGCTCGTAAGGAATTGTTGGGTATCGAGTGCAGTAATATGAAAAATAAAAGTAAAACTCACACTGGCATTGTGAAACACCGGCATTGGGGGAGCACGAGCCACGCGTTCCGAGGATCCCTTGAGGAGCTCGGCCAAGAGTTCCGGGCTGGGCCCAGGCAAGCCCTCGAGTTTGCTCGGACTCGAGGTCGTGCGGTGATGGCACGGGACGGGCGGCTGGTCCGCGCCGAAGCCCGCCGAGCTGCTGGCATTGAAGGACAGATTGGTCGAGACTTTGCGTCGCTGGCGCATCACACCGTTGCTGGCGTCCAACGAGACGAGGTCGGTCGCGCGTGGCTTGGCCATCTCGGCCTCGAGCATTTGGCCGTAAGGACCGCGCAATGGCCGTTTGCTGTATCTAAGGTTGGAGCGATTATGCGCTGAGCACCCAGTGGGGGAGAGAGATGATAAAAATTACTCACCTCCTGGGCGTCTGGCCCTCGCAGTCTGACAAGTCGCTCGGGGTCGCGGACGGTGGCAGCTCGTCCCTCTCATCGCTGCTCTGAGTCGAGAGCTTGTTCTTGAGTTCGTAAGATTCGTTGGTCGAGGCGGCGTTGGCTGCACTGGCCGCGTTGGTCGGCCACTGGGTTATGTAGACGCCTTTGCGGCGTTTGCTCGTGTCGCCGCGATAGCGACGCGGTAACTTGCCGGTCGGACCGGACGCCGCCTGAGCGGCCGCGGCTGTGACTGTCGTCGCTTCCTGACTAGCCGCAGCGCCGGAGCTCGCCGCCGACTCGCTCGGGGCTTCGCTCGCTTCGCTTGCCTGACTCAAGCGTCTGATGAATAGTTGAGGCTGCTGCTGCTGCTGCTGCTGTACTAGATTGTTAGAGTCGTGTTTCGCGCCGCTTAGCGACGTCGCGTCTTCTTGCGGGGGAGTGATTATCACCTCGTGCGGACAATCTGATGAGACACAAAGTCAGCTTATAAACTCATTTCTTTTGAAAACCTTCGGATTCCATCCCTAATTTTTGCGTGATATATTTCAAATTTACTCGTTACAAAAAAGCTTCGATGCGATTAACGATGAACGATGAATGAATAACAAACTATAAGCATATTAATAGAACACGTATATCTAAAGTTTATTTATGCGAATGAAAATATTAATTGAAGCCTTTTTTTTCTCACCAACATCAGTGCGAATGAAGAATAAATTTGGCCATAATATTGTTTGATATGGCAGCTGTTTTATTAACTTTATTATACGTGATTTGATTTATATACGCTGATTTATATATGTTACTATTAATAGACACTGCTACTGAATTTAGAACAGTTTCATAATTCTTATCAATTAATACTTAATCTCTTTAATATCATACACTTCATTCAAATGTTGAATATCATTTAGTAATAATTAAATATTAGTCTTACAATTCTCTGGCAAGATAAGTAAAACTGTGAGTGACTTTTGAGGGGAGCTACTAGTTTTAATTGAACCTCAATGTAGATTTATGCAAGTCACACAAAGACTGATCTTGCGAAAAGTAGGACGTTTTTGATGTTTAAATGGAAAATTACATTATAAAAGTTTAAACGTCTCACATTTCTTAAGCCAAGTCGATATGTACTACTGCGGTTACAGGAAGAAAATCTTCAAATGAATAAAGAAGTGACTCTTGCAAAAGTTCGGAAAAATGAATTTTATGACTGTAAACCTAAGAATATCTTTGAAATCGGATAATTTGCAAACTATTCGTTTTCGCTACCCAAAAAAGCTATCGTTCGTTGACACTGCTGACACTGTGCTGACGTGTTTGTTTATAACATAACTCTACACATGGACTTACATATATAGGGGCACTCGAACGTCATCACAGACGCTCGTTTTTATGACGTGCTCATTGCTCCGAACGAATTTAAAGTAAATCTCACTTTGTCCTGAAAATATCAATGTCGAAAACGCGGATATTTCACCTCTGCTTCGTCGCTTTGGTCTTTTTTTATTCTTTTCATCATTTCGGCAAGATTACTGATGTCAAATAAAATCTAATATGGTACGTTTAATCTGCCGATGGATACTTTAACCCATGAAACATAATATATTATCTAGTCACAAATCGAATAAATCCGATTTTTCGACATTTTATATAGTTTCGGTTAATTTGTCATCTCATATTGCGATGATATATTTACTTATAATTTATGTTGCTTTAGGCGCAAAATAGAATTTTCAACGAATCTTCTTTAATGGCTCAAAGTCACGTGACGATCTCGCATCCGCGTGAAACAATATTGCCACGATATATATTTCGGAACATATCGCAATGAATAATATATGTCACTATGAAATAATATGCATCACCATAGTGACTGGCATTATTTTGAATGCATTTCTTTGAAACGCAATCAGTGGTATGAGGTACCTATACTAACGAAAAAAAAAAAGATAAACAATAGTGGGGCCGGTTGCAAGTGACAATTTCGCAAGCCCGACATGTCCCAGCTCGTCGATCGATGAACTGCACAGCTGCTCATACCGATCGCGTTTTATTTATACATGGCGTAAAAGTTTGATAAAAATAAAATATCAGTTAGAATTGGAATTTGGGATGAATGAAAATAACGAATGTACTTCGATAAAGTGTTCAGCTATTAATAGAAATTAAAAAGCCAAATTGATCCAGGTCTGATGCTGCAGCCGTGTAAGGTCGCATGTGCACATTAGTTGGTAAACACTCGATAGAAATGGAGATATTAAAGAGATTCGTACGAATTGCGTATCGATAGATATTTTTGGAAATATTATTTAAGAAAATATTTGATCGCGCGCAAAATCAATACAAAACTGATCATAAAATCATCGTTCACAACGAACCTTTGCGCGCATCGCCGTTGGCCTTCGTCTCTGGCGTCTCCGTCGAGTCTCTGGGCTGTTGTTGCACCTGCTGCTGTTGCTGACGATCGACGAGCTCGGGACCCACGACTGCTGAGCTCGACGCGGTCATGGAGTCCGAGGCATCGCTTCTCGGGCGGAAAAGCAGGGCCTCGTCGATACTGCTGGAGGCAACCTCGGCCGACGAGCCAACGGCGCTGTCTACGAAACTCGGCGAGGTGGCGCGACGAGGCGACGGCGAACGACGCGCCGATCGCGGCAACGTCGAGGCTTTGTTGTGGCCGCTGCTGGCGACGTTACACAAGCCGGCCCCATTGCCACCCATGGCAGCGTAAACGGCTCGGCGATAATCCACCGATTGCGCCGCGACTTGGCGGTCGAGCTCTGCAAGGTCGAAGCGTGCAACTATGGCTAATTCAATTTTTGACTGATCCCGATTCACCCAACGAGCTATTTTTACATCGTAGGAGCAGAGAAAAATTCTCGCGAGAACCGTTTGTTAGATATTCGTCAATTGATATTTTCATATACTTTATTGAAAAAATGTGAAGGTTTTGCTCTCGTCGTTGGACAAACTAAAAAAAGTCTCGAGACACGCTGTTATGCAACGTCATCGATGGCTCGCTATTTCTATCGAAAAATACCTCGCAATATACACGACCCGAGCACGCCGCTTCATTTATACGGTATTCCGTCATTTGAGATAAGGTATTTGTCACCGTCATCGACACCGTAAAAATCAATTTTTTTCACACTGGAATTCGAATAATCCGAATTTTCGTAATTCAAACAAAAGTCCCTCAAAATAGTATCCCTCGCGAGCTTTAGCAACAGTTAAGCGTATCGATCAAGTGTACAACATTCGCGGTAATATATCAAAAATTTGCCATTCGTTGTTGGAATAAACGCAATGTTTATTTTGGCTTTAGACAGGAAAAGAAAGAAGGAGAAAAATCGAGCACTCTTGACCCGAGAATCTCGTTCGTCTCATATGCGCTCGTGTGTATACAGGTACTATATAGTATAGGTATAATATAGCCAATCTCGTAGAGTCCGCGGTGGGCAGGAAAACGTGCGAGCTTGGCTCGGGTCGCGAATTACGTTGGTTCGCGGATCGAGCGCCGCCCCGCGCGTTCATTTCGGCTGCAACTTTGGCTATATACTTCTATACACATGCCTCGAGTCGCACGGGCCACGCTTTATGCTTACTTTGCGCGAATCTGACGCAGGCGTAACGTTGGCAACATCATCGCCAATTTCTCGAGAAACTAAAAGCTCGAGCTGATTATATATACATAAACACTTATTTATGTCTGTATATGTTATAACGCTGGCAACTCGCATTAGTAATTTCAATTTTCTTCTGCACCGAACAGTTCCATTTTTTTGCGAGCAACGGCATCGAAATAAAAAATCGAAATAATTTTAAAAAGAACCGATTATCTGGGTGAGATCGATCGTCCTCGCAATATAACTCACCACAATTCGTATCGGCTTGTCCAAACGAAGCGCTGCGAAACTTGCCACCTGTCGGCACGTTTCCGAGCCACGGCGTCGAGGATCTCGTTGGCTGCGGCTCGCCGTCGCACGAGACGCTCTTCGCGTGATCGGTGCAGGCATCCTCGAAGCTGCTGCCCGCGGCCGAGTCGCTGTACTGGCGAGAATGACGAGGACTCTTGGCGCCGCCGGCGAGCACGTTCGTTTGAGGATCGAGCACGAAATAGTCGCGCTCCTCGTCGATGCTCGCGCTGCGGCACAATTGGCGTGGATGCGAGGAAGGAGTCGTCGTCGTGCTCGTCGGTGTCGTCGCCGACGATGGCCTGGAGCCTTGGGCGAGCGTCGGCACCGAGTTCGGACTGCCCTCGCTGAAGGTGTGGCTGCGGCTCGAAAAGCGACCCTCGTTCGGTGCCGGAGATTGTTGGGACTGAAATCGCAAAAAGTAATTATCAATCGATCATGTCCTCGCTGATTTTTCAAATCTTCTTTTTTTCTCTTTTCTTTTCGACTGCTCGGCGAGCCCTTAAAACGCTCGAAAGATTTATAATTCGAGTCTCGAGCCAACTGGCCGGTCGGGAGCTTGCAACGTTGCAAGCTCTTTGAGCGAGCGATACGCGTCAACGCAAATATGCTCGTTATAAATGCACGCGCGCGCGGCAACAGCATCGCGCGAGCTTATGTAATGATTTTCGACGAATATGTTTCGCGTATGGTCGAACGAGAATTTTCCGGAAAATCTACCCACGCTATGTATTGATTTCGAATAGTGTATAATATAGCAGGCAGTTTGGCAAGACCGGAAGGTACAGCGCGCGAGTTCGTGATTTCGTCCGGTTTGTAATTTTTCGTGCTCCGTCGGAAATAAACCGCATATGATTAACGACAGAAAAAATGGATTCCGATTCGTTCACCGCGAGCCATGACTGCGCGCGGCTGTTTCATTCAAGTATTCGAGCGCGTGCACGCAGAAGCATCGAAAAGTCGAGCGCGTGGCGCGCGCGCATGCAGGCAAGCAAGCAGCATCGATTGCTTTTGCAGTTTTAATGGATTTTCTAATTTCGACGCGTTGCTAAAAACATCGGACGCGTAGCAGAGCAAAATAAAATAACAGCGGATGCGTGTACAGCACATCCAAATGATTGGCTGATTTTAGATTATGTGCTTCGATGCGTGTGTTCCAGCATGTAACTACCTTATACACGCGGTATTACTCAGCAGACGCAAATTGCTCGCGAGCAAAGTATCGTTCAAAGAGATCGTTTAACTTAATATATACATATGTATTTACACGCGTGTGTGTCTGTGTGTGTATAGGCTCGATACGAAACGATGTTTGCGCGCGCCAAATTTTCGCTTAATGACTCGCTTAATGCAGCTCTTTTATTATTTTTTCGCTCTCTGCTTGCGCGACCGAGTCATGGACAGTCGTTGAATTTTGGCACGCGCATACGCATCTGCACTAGGAAATGAAAGTTATGATTTCTTTCGCGGCGGCGCGAGGGCGAGAACAGTTGACGGAAATGGCCGGATCATCCGGCGTTATATTTAAAAAGCTAATGATACGACAAATTGAGCCGATTGTTGTTCGAGTCGATGATCGAGTACAAGTGCACATAAAACTCCAAAAGAAAGAAGACCGAGCGACGAGAGTTGGACGATTTTAATACTGTCCCAAGCGACACCAAGGTCAACGGTTGATCGCGCGCGAAATTTGTCGACAAGACAATGTTATTTTCTGGAGAAAAAAAAACGATTCGATGATTGATGATTTGTACATAAACGTCTAAAAATAAAGCCACTGACGATCTGTTTCACACCCTTTTGTGAGGCAGACAATCTGTGTGTGTACACAAAAATATCATTCGCTACACGTGTATTATAGCGATCAGAAGTGTCGAAAAGTGAAAACTCAATGTTCAACAACCTCGAGGCAACCAGTGCAGTTGCGTTACGGTTAATAGCCTCCGGTAAAGTTAAAAGATTTCTTTGGTCGCGATCGACCAATAATAATTCCAAAAGAGATCGTAATTGGTATACCTGTTGCGAGCTAATACTGAAGGACGACGAGGATGAGTCCGGCGACGAGACGTAGCATCTCGATGGTCTTCGGGGAGGCGGTACAGGAGCCGAGGCAGGGGCCGATCCTTTCAGCTTCTCCGTCAGCTCGCGCAGCTTCACGGCTTTGGTGCCGGAATTATTTGATTTTTTTGCGTTTGCGCCACTGCCGTTGTTTCCACCGCTCCATCGGAACCGTTGAATGCGGTCCACCGCTACCGCCGCCGGTTCCTGTAAACAGCGTATGAAAAGAACCAATTTCATTGGCTATGAATTACGATCGCGATTGGAAGGATTGGTTGTTTTAATCGGTGCAAAGCATTGCGGCGTAAATCAATTAGTGACGATTATGCTGGCTTTGAACGATTGGGCCAAAATTGCTTATCTCTAGATATCGCAACGTTCGAGTCTATTGTAATAACTAAAATAATGAAACTGAACAGATTAAAAGATATGAAATGTATGATTCTCACGTTATTTTTAAAAATTAATTCAAACTATAGTTCTGGATAAATGATTGAAAAAAAAAGTGTAAGTTGTCGAGTATCGAATGAGAGAAGCTTGAAGCGCACACGGACACACTCGTTAATCGATCTCAGTCTTACAGTCCTTACAAAGAAGTTTGTAACAAAATCCATAGACACTCCGCTACGGAATTTCGCGCGCAACTCTGCCCAGCGGTTGTCCACGATGATCAACTAAACATAATTCTTCGGTCACGAATTTATCACAATGAACTCTCTTTATAGTCGAGCAGTCGATGTCACACTCGCACTCGGATCACGTATCACTTGTTATAACATCATGACTTTTGCAGCGTGCAGGGAAAATTTAACCGGAGGAAAATACGATGCGAGTCGCGCGAGAGTCGATCGGAGGAGGAGGAGGGGAGACAGGACGGGACTCGGACAGCAACAGACCTGCAGTCTCAAACTATGATGTTTGGTCCACTGAGCGATCTGCAGACGCGGCAGGGTGTGATGCTGCTGCGACGAGGCGGATATTATCGTCGGTTGCAGCGGCGAGCACGAGGAGGACGAGGAGCAGGACGAGTTTAACGGGGAATTGGCAGCGTTGTGATTTGCACAGGTAGTCGGGACGACGGAGACGGAGCTATTGGTGGTCGCGCCGTGCAGACCGCCCTGGCTGCCACTACTGACTGCTGCCTGCTCGATGCAGCCACCGCCGCCGCCGCCGCTGTTGCTGCTGCTGCTGCTGCTGCTATTCGGCCAACATCGGACGCTATTATTAGAATTCGGAGCTACAACCGTATGATAATGATGATGATGATGATGATGTTGACGCGATACCGCCGGTTGCTGCTGTGGCTGCTGCGGCTGCTTCGTCGCTTGAGCTCCAGAGGCGCTACAAGTGCTGCTGCTATTGCTGCTATTATTGCCGCTGGACCAAGACAGAGGAATACGAGAGTTCAGCGTCGTCAGCGAGCCGCGGGACGGCGAAGATCTCGGCCCGATGCAGCTCAGGCAGCAGTCCGTCGCGGCGAAGTCTAAGATTAGCGGCTTGCCGTTGTTGCTGGCGAGCTTGCCGTCGCTCAGGCGCTCGCGCGGCTCGCTCTCGTGCGAATTTCGTCGGTACTGCAGCTTACGATACAGCTGATTGTGCGGCGGCTCTTCCATGCTCTGCTGATGCAGCGGCTGCTGGTCGCTTTTCCCAACTTTTGCCGCTTGCACGATGCTGTCCTGAGGAATAATGATATTTTAATATTTTTCAGACTGTAGAAACATAATCCATTGAGCTCAAAGGCTTTCTTTCAAATCGATCAGAAAATATAGAGATCAACTAAGCGTAATTGCACGTAAAATGAAGATGAGCAATACTTTTGGCCAAACTAATGTCTTTTTTCAACTAGATTGAACTACTATTATAGTTTTTTGCCGAAGCTCATTTTTCAGGTAGGCCAAGTATGGTTAAATGTTAAAAAAAACACTACTGCGGATGAATGAGTGAATCGAACTGTCTATGAATGACCGGCAAACTAAAGAAGACCAAAATATACGTCACCGTGTCATTTCAAAAACGTACGAGCTGTAACGAGTGACGCGGTTGATAATATCACCGGTCACTTTGAAAAGAAACTAAAAAACAAAAAATTGTAAATTACCGTCGAAACGTACGCATACACTCACGCAACTTCATTCAATGTCGATGTCAAGTCATGTAGACAGTTTGGACTCATGACTCTCTTTCGGTTTCTCTCTCCCTCTCTCCCTCTCGCGTAAATATATCTTACATACGCGTCGCGCATGCACATGCCCGATTCGTAACGGAACACGCACACACGGGCCAGCGTATAGCCCGGAAGAAAGGAAGTCAGCGCAACAATCGCATGACGCAAGAGCAATCGCATACTATGCGTTTTCTCTATACGACTGCTGCTGCTGCACGTCTTCTACGAGTCCATCAGAAGCTTATTTTATTAAGCCACTGTAGATGGACGTATAGGCTGCGAGGCTATAGAAGGACGCTGACATTGAACGAGCGCTCTGAATGCGAGATGGAATTTTTCTATTACGCATGCTGGAGCGTTTGCAAGGAAATGGCCTGGCGCGTCGAATATGGTTCCTCATATCTTTGAGCTTGACACTGGACAATCGATCGACTCTTCGAAATTACTGAAATTTTCAAAAGATGAGGAGCACAGTCGTTCTGCACTCGAAGCGAAAAACGCATGCGATTTCGTGCGAAAGTCACTAATGAAAATCTCTTGTTATTTCGGGCGTTACTGTAATAAACCCAAAAATAAATTGTGAATCCAAAGCGAAGTTGTACGTGCACAAATTCACGGCAGCATATGGATCGAAGAATTAAGCGGACGCGGGAAAATGACTTCAATTTTCTACGCACTCTTTAAATCCACCTGTCGTTGTAAATACGAGTAAATATCGACGCGATAAAGGACAATTTAAGCTCGAGCACGCGAGCGCATCTCGCGGAAATAGATTCTCATTTCGTCATCGCGCGCGAAAAATCACTAAATTATCTCCTTCGCTATTCGTCACGTGTCGATGCGTGAAAAAAAGTGTAAACAAAATATGAACGTCAAAAAGAAAGTCTGTCACATTCAAAAGACTATAAGAAAAATATTTTTTACATCGACAACTTAGGTGGAGGTAAAAAAAATGAGCTATTCAAAAAAATCTAAAAATTTTAACCACCAAAGTAAGAACTTTAATTATTTCAGTTTAAATGTCAGAATAAGCTCACAATCGTATATGAAAAATGTAATCATCAACCTCAGCAGAGAACTGAAAAATGTGATACAATCTTTTTTTTTATCCTTCAGAACTTTTGTATAGTTTTATAGGAAAATAGAAACAGTAAAAGACTCAATCACGAAGTGACCTTTAATTTTTTATGAACGCGTATTTCCTTCATATATGAGTTCCCACAAGATCTTGATAATTTTCAAATAATTAGTGTGCAGTTATCGTAGCTTAAGTTCAATTTAATTTTTGATTCGCGTACATTTCTGGTTACGACTCTATTGTACGATAGAAAAAAATAAAGTACAAACCTATGTACCGTAAATTTAATCAGGCGACGAAATTAATAAACAGCTGATTGAGCGGAGCTGCGCGATTAAACGTAATCGCTTATCTTTGTTTTACGCACAAACGAGACACACTACATTATGCAAGGAGCAACAAACTTCTCGGAATTCATCTCCTGCCTCTCACGTACCGCACGTTCGTATATGAATTGTTACGGGGTGAATGTGCACCATGTCGTATCTCATCAGTTTAAATGAGTATACGTATTATAATACAGGCCTACGTGCATATTATACATATACACTCGGCAACAAAATTATCGCAACAAAAAAATTCATCGAAATTTTGTCGATTTTCAAATGCTTCTATCTTGGGCTAGATTTATCGTATCGACACGCTTTTTTTTTTAATTTCTTGGAAATTTTGTCCTCTTTAAATCCATATAAATTAAGATAAGATTTGAGTTAATGTTGAGTTACCAGTAGTATTTGAGCGTGACCCTAAAAATTACTGAAAAAAAATGACTGTTTGAACGTGTACCAGTACCACAGTGATTTTTTTATCGAAATCTAACATACACCATCGCAAAGTGCTCTTTTCAACGAGTAATTTAAAAAAAAAAAGACCTCTCTACGATTTTTTTAACGCCCTGTAGGTCGATTTGAAGATACCATTTAAAGTACGTAAAATTCCCCGTTTACCTGAAATCAAGACGATTTTCTGGGCATTATGCGTACATAAACCGTACCTTCAAATCGACCTACAGGGCGTTAAAAAAATCGTAGAGAGGTCTTTTTTTTTTTAAATTACTCGTTGAAAAGAGCACTTTGCGATGGTGTATGTTAGATTTCGATAAAAAAATCACTGTGGTACTGGTACACGTTCAAACAGTCATTTTTTTTCAGTAATTTTTAGGGTCACGCTCAAATACTACTGGTAACTCAACATTAACTCAAATCTTATCTTAATTTATATGGATTTAAAGAGGACAAAATTTCCAAGAAATTAAAAAAAAAAGCGTGTCGATACGATAAATCTAGCCCAAGATAGAAGCATTTGAAAATCGACAAAATTTCGATGAATTTTTTTGTTGCGATAATTTTGTTGCCGAGTGTAGTTGTGTCTTTCGCACGTCTCCCGCGCGGCGCAACTTTATATACGGCGGCTCGGCATCTTTATCCGGCGACTCAAACGTTCGAATGTCTAACTACGCGAGGCAGACGTTTGTGAGACAATAGCAAGTAAACTGCAGTCGTACAATATATATAGCACCCTAGCCTTGGCTTCTAGGAGAGATAGAGAGAGAAAGAAAGAGAGATATTACGGGCATTTTGGCGACGAAAAGAGAGTTAAATGTGCATTTAAGTGCTGTGGCGGCTTACTTGCGATAGTCGCAGTCCGTATCTGGTGCCGCCGAGAACAACGTAATTGTTGCCGGAACTGCTGGTAACGGGTCTCGCTGCTCCCATTGCCAACCAACCAGTGCCATATGCTGTTTTCTGTTGCTGCTGCTGCTGTCGTTGATGATCCGGCTGCAACGTTGCTGCTGCCGACGCTCTTGTACTTTCTGAATGTGCGAGACCTCCTCCAACGCCACCCGCGCCGTCTATTCCGACGTGGGGCATCCTTCATCCTTCTTTAACTAGCTCTGCAATCAGTTCGTCGACGTCATTTTAATATCGATCAAAATTCGAGAATATACGATCGTTGACAATGTATTTTCCGACGCAAAAATTGAATTCCCTCGAAAAAAAAAAATGCGATTCCGAGTCGAAACATTAATTTACAATATACGTATGTAGTATGCATTTGCGAACCGGCAATGTTTGCTGCGAACGCCGCGATGTGCATACGAAGCTTAAAAAGCTGTTGCTGCTGCTGACCGCACACGTGCAAGCTACGCAATCGCGCCGTCGTCGTCGGTAATACGATACGTTGCCAATGACCATTGAGAGAACGAGAGAGAGAGAGAGAGAGAGAAAAAGAGAGCGGATAACAAGATATTTTTACGCTTCGCTTTTATAACAATTCATTAACCAACTCAGAAATATCTGCTTTCGAATGATTTTTTTTGGCTTTTTATGTTTTCGACAAAAAGTTTTTCGCGCTCGACACGTGTACGGTTATATGGAATCGGAGCTCACGCGCGTGCAGTACATTTTCCATCCCCCGCGCGCGTCCGCGTGTGGTAAATATATTGCATCGTCGATACAACGGAGCTTACACGCGCGTACGAGGATACGTAACGCGTGTATCGGAGTAAAATCAATCCGCACATCGACACAATTAATTACGCTTTTTCAATGCTGCGCGCGTTGGGTGCGAATCGAGCCCACACTCGATCGGATTCGCGCGGTACATGTAACGGCGTTAGCTGTATCTACGCGAGGCGAACTTATGCGGCCGAGTTATGTCATTCTAATTCGGGGAACCAACTCGAAAGACGCATTATAATTGCACTCGCGCTGGGTGAAGTAGTGTTCAACTTGGCTCATTACGATTGTTGTTTCATTACGAGCTCTTCAAACTTTGTCACATTTGCAATTCCTCATAGTCCCGATGAACTTTTCAAACTATTTCTTAAATACAAGTTGCGTTAAATTTTTTCTTCCGTATTAGCCGTAATCGATGAGCATTGGCATTCTCGCAATGAATAAAATAGAGAAGAAGTTTTCTTTTATCGCTCACGCACCCCAAAAAATGAAATCGATCGGTTCATGGAAATTGAGCGACCGCAGTTCACTGTGTGCATCAACGACACATACTTGCTCTAATAAGAGCGAGAACTCGGAATAGCGCGTGGCGATCGCCAACGTCCAAAGCAACGAACTGCCCGTGCTGCACACGGGTCGTCGTCGTCGTCGTCGTCGTCGTCAGCATTGCAGTTGCAGCAAATAACGTCGGCTAAATACGCGACGGCGATTCTAGCTGCAGTTTCAAGAAGTGCAATAAGAAGAAGAAGAAGAAGAAGAAGGAAGAGTATGAGAACGAAAGAGGTAAAAACAGTGTGTGCGAAAGAGAGAGAGAGAAGGAGAGAGAGGGAAAATCAAGAATCTCTCGGTGTGCGAGGCATAAAATAAAAACAAAACGAATAATAGAAATGAGCAATAAAGACCGGCAGGGGCGAACAGTGCCGACGCTGTTTAGTTTTAGTATCAAGTGTAAGTAGGTGTGCGCTGTGTATATTTACACGCGCTGCAGCAACACCACAGACGAGACGCGGCAAAGCTCTGCTGCCGCCCGCCGAGAACTGCCAAGTGGCGATCGCTGCGAATCCTCTAAAACTACTGTGGATTTAATGCGATCCGCGCGTACACCTGGTCAGATCAAAGCTCGCCTAGCTACACTGCGGAGCTGGAAATTAACGCAACGTTAGCGCTGCGGTTATTACGTGACAGACGCGATGAGCACTCGAGGCTCCAACTGCTCGTAACACCATTTTCCCTTTTACATGTACATTCCGCAAGATATATACACCAATGTATAGATGTGTACAAATGCTCATAAAAGACGTGCCGCTCGCAGAGGATTTCGAACTTATTAATTGAAAAAATTGAAAAAAAAGTGTACCCACAAACGAATCCCATCCGTTCGAGAATTCGCCGTTTCACAAGCACTGCGCACTGTCGAATATTGAAGCAGCATCGGGTATTATTATCGCCCGAATAAGTGTCGCTGAATCGTCAAAACATTTTTGTTTTGAAGCGCTCGTTCGTCTTTTGACTTTTTTTGCATTTCAACAATCTGCATCGTTTGTAACGCGACGTTTCAAAATCAATGGCGATGCGGCATTATGCAGCAGTCATTTGACGTGCGATCGTGCATATTTTTATACATACAAGCGTCTTTATTTCTCGAATCGATCGGAGATCGAGGCCCTGCTTATTTATAACTACACAGACGAGAATAATGCCGCCCACGTGAAAGATGGTTATTGACAATTTATTCGCTCGCTCGATCAGTCCCCTCATCAATTTTTTTTTTTTCGATCAATCAACTTTTCACCAACAAGTGCCGTGAAGCAGCTTCACGGTGTAAAGAGAAAACGTCTTCGCCAAAATTACCTATGCATATGTACGCGTTGAAAGCTAAAATGTCTTGAAACTCGGGATTTTTTAACAAGGCGATGCCGATTTATTGCGATTATTTCCTCGATCTAGTCTGCCCCGTGTTTTCCATCCTCGATGAACGTAAAGTAACGAGTTAATCAAGTTTATGTTTTATGTCCACTTCACGAGTCAAAGCTTGAAAAATTGTGTCGAAAAAGTTCCCATCTCAAATCGAGCGTTCATTACGACAAAATGAGTTTGACTGCGCTGCATCACGGACTCGAGTAAGCGCTTCTATGATAATGCATATTACGAGCAAACGGTACAGACGAATTCACGATCCTCTAATTGTAAACTCGTGAGCCCACAGCAGTGTTACACACATGCCGTGAACATCGCGCGAGCTTTGATGCGTTTAACGGACGAGCTCGTTTTAGCATATAGTCGATCAATAACTGTATTGGTGAAAAGCTCCAAAAATGTATGAAAACATTTATCATTGTAAAAATTTTTTTTAAATTACTCACACTTGGGTTTTTCCTAATTATATTTTTAAGGGTAAAAAGTCAAACTCGTCTTTTTCATTTCAAGCGTTTGTCTTGTTTTCGGAACATTCGTGCACTCGGAAGTCGAATTACTCGCAGAGCGGTGCTCGACTGCCGCTGACTAATTTTATCCGAAGGTGTCTCTCGGCGCGGTCGAGTTCAAGGTTTGACGTGACAGTTTCTCTCGCTCATTTTCCGCCACAATTTTCAATATTACTCGTATTGAAACTTTACCTGTGAAATTTTACACTCTCGAGCGAAGCCCCATCGTAGGCATTCTACTTTGTCAAAATTCACAATACGATGAGCTATCGATAAGTCGAGCGAGTGACAATTTCATCAACAAAAGGTGGTCATACTTAGTGTAAAATATCCGAGATCTGCGTCGACTGCCCAGCGAATAAAAGTTGACGCGCAAGAGCGCGTAAGCCGCGCACGTATGCCGTGGAGTATGATGTAAATTTGGGTTCGAGCACGCTCGGCGCATGCAGACGCCTCACGATTGTACGGCGAATCCCAGTGCAAGGAAAAACCGGTTCTCTCGATCCGCTGCAAGTCGATTCCAACACACATGCACACACGACACACACGCGAGCGCGCGCGCCTATCCATATATACACGGTACACACACACTAATAGCCGTCGGAGAATAAATCATTTCGTTTTCAAGCGTTACGATTCACTGAAACTTTGGAAGCGAAGCAAAACAGACGTAGGCGCCCTAGCCAGCAAATGCGAGCGGCTCCAACCGTTCACGAGATGCCAGTGATTCTTCTCCGTAAATGTGTAGGATTCTGTCAGCTGTCAAAAAATGCCAATGTGCCGCCTCGAAAATAACGTCAGTTGGCGCTTGAATAAATGCAGATACGACAGCGAGTTCGATCGGCACGCCGAAATTATGCGACAAGCTCTCCATATAGGCTCGGAGCTCGCCGAGTCTCGTTTGATTTTCCTCCCACAAATTATTAGTATGAAATGGCACTTACATATATTTGTACTTTAACGCACAATAGACGAGCAGGCTAAGATCCATTGGGGCCAGAGATCGCGTACGTACGTACATATGCGGGCGCACAAGGAGCCAGATTCTTGGTGAGCCTCGCGACTCCGACAGCCGCAACACTGCACGAGAGTCGGCCTGTGGCAGCGCGCGCGAATACGTCGACTATGTTTGTGTACACATGTCGTATGTGTGTGTGTACAAGTGTGCAGGCTAAAAAATCAAGCTGACTCGGGAATGGCCTGGACTCTGGCAGCTTCAGCGCCGCCTGTGTCAGCTTGGGACCTACATAAAAGGCCGCAGGTACAACACATGCACGCGTCTCGCGCCGTACGAGCTTCACCCCTCTCCTTCGCACTTGTAAAGATTGTGTCTGTGAATAAATGAATACGGTTCCGCTATAGGCCAGTACCTACAAGTATCCAATTGCAATGTTGACGGCTGACAAAGTGCTTCAAAATAGCTGCACGCATGATACAAACAGCTTATAGTGTAGTGCACTATGCACTAGACCTTAACAAATACATGATTATATTTCATAGGGTAATTCGATAATTTATTATAATGATTATTACAGTTATTTTATCATTTTCGATGTTCGTAACTACTTCATTGACTCATTGTTCCTACCACTGCGGCTATGCTTTCATTTGCAACCAAAACATTAATAGATGAAAACTAGCAAACCGTTTATTTTTATCCTTTCAAAACAAAAGTATGTCTCCACCAGATCAATAAGTATAATAATTTGTTTATAAAAATTTTTTTAATAAACTGACGTTATAAATTTTTTTAATCCATCAACACTCTTACAACATAACTAAACCATTTTAAACAAAAAGGGTGGCGTGAAATTTTTCTTTTACGTCAAAAAATATTGTTTTCGAAATTAACCACTTTCGAGTTTGGAGACTGGAGAAAAAAATTCTAATAATTAATCAATTAATTAGTTAGTTGTATAATTAACTGTCCATCACCAGTCTATTGATTTTAGATTTTATTAAGGGGAGGTAGATCGCTTCACTGGGCTACCTGAAAAAGTAGTTCAGGCTGCCACAGGACGACCTGTTCCTCTTCAAAAATAGGTTCGCTTATAATTTAAACATTGCTAAGCGTTACCAAAGCCTCATATTTTCCTTACTCATTAGTTTAAGGCACGAATAGTCAGTGCGAGGTACGCTCTATTTATGTGAGAATTTTACTTTTTCTCTTGTGAATAACCAAAAGTATGCTGGAAGCCATCTAGAGGGTCCTTTTAGTACTACTTCCCTGTTTTCATTGACAAATATGAATTGCGCAATTTTCAAAACTATTTCTGTGGACTTGAACAATTATCCGTTAGCGCTTATCCTCTTGTAGGGGTTTATAATTTATGATGTGGAGAAAACTTTGATCTCGCTGTAATTTTTATTTTATTTCACAACAAATGTTTCGTCGATCAAGTCAATAACATCCTATCCACTCGAGTTCATATAATACATTATGTTTTGTATTTCAACTTTCTTATAATTTCGTGGAGCTGTTACAGTTAAAATTAACTATGGAAATGTATACGATTATTTTCGAAATTAACCGTACATACATATGTAAATACTAACGGTCTGCATCGGTCAACTTTAGCGCACTCCGTTGGGACTTGGGTTGGGAGACTGTCTTTTTCATTCTCGTGAGTCTCGTGTCACAGTCATAATAAACACATACACACGTATGTATACACCTGTTGGTTTTGGCGTCTGGTTGTGTGTTATTAAACTTCAGCCGCGCTTGATTCACTGGACGACGCCCAGTATTTATAACCTCGCAACTGCAAAACTAACATTGACCTGGCGCGCCCAGTAAAATATATTCACATGCATGGAATTTTGCTGCGTTTATTAATTAAAAAGTAATCAGTGCATAATTGTCAATCCATCAATATGAAAGTCGTCGATTCGTGCTGGTCGCCATGCATATGGACCAACAACATAAACACAGCTTGTAAAGCTATTGCTTTCTACACAGTGGTCAGTGTTAATTTTTTCTACAGAGCAATTATATTTTTATATTTTTCAAACTTTTTTTAAAATGTTTCACTTGATTCATATGATTAGTCGGCCAGCATTGTACTGATTACATTGATTGCATACCAAATGAATGGTGGCGACTCAACACAACTGTACAATCCTTTATTTGAAGCTGATGTCAGGGGTTGTAAGTAACATCATTAATTTAAATAAAATTTAAAGAAAAGCAGAGGCAAAGTTAGTCCAAAAATAACATTTTTAAACCTATTTTCTGAAACTCCATTTTTGGAAAAGACTTTATAGTAGGATTCAATTGTAAAAAGTTATTAGTAGGAGTTTTAGAAAAAAAAACAGAATACTTTATTTTTTGTCTAGCTATATGATTCCTTTCATAATAATACACTCATTATTAATTAAAATTTTATCACAGCGATGCAATACGTCGGAGGTTTCTTAATCTACTACTTCATATGTCTTATTATATTTGCAATCATGATGATACATGGCCTTCGTAGGGGAGTAAGAGGCTGGCTCTTACCCTGGCTAGTAGCTTGGTTTATCGTCTGTTTATTCCAGCTAGTTTTTGGATTATGGCTAATCGGTGGCTATTACATTTATGTAAGTTGATAATCACTCTCTGAAAAATATTTTTATCTATTTATAATTATCAAACTTTCATTTTTTATTTTAGCTGCAGTTAGTATATTCAACATTGATCAACTGGATTTGGATGGGATACAATGTAAGCATATGAAACTTGAAAAAATTTTTCTTTTAATTAATTGTTTCGAAATTAAATTGCAGATTTATTGTTGGCTTGTTGTACTCTCAATGTATAAGGTGCTTGAAGAATTACAGTCACCAAACATTGAACTTCTTTGGCCTTAAACGCTTGGTTTTTTGCATTAAAATAGCCAACAAGAATAACAATAAGAAATGTATGTTATCATTTAAGATAAAGTCAATTGAAATTGTTACTCATACAAAGCACAAATTCAACGAAAAATGTTTTAATGAGCTTTGACTCCAGTAGAGTAAAAACTATTGTATAGAATTTTCATTTAATTTGAAAAAAATCCAATTAGTATTGTTATTTTCTATAAATAACAATTTGGTTTAATGACTAAGACTGAAAATAACCTGCATTGAATCAGGATCTATCCGTCCAATATCAGCCTTGCAATATTATTATATTAAATGAAAAGTAAATTGCAAATACTATAATATTTAAGCTTTGCACATACTAATGAGTATTTTAGTTTATACATGTATGCAGGTGAAGATATTTGTTAGTGTTTTATTGCAAAAATCAAAACATAAGCTTTTTTATATATTCTGTACAAAAATATAATTAAACCTGTTGAATGTTTAGTATTTACAGAAATAATGTAAAATATTCAACATTATTCAAATGCTTTGAAGTTGCTTTTAACCAGTAATCTTTTATTTGAATAGAATGAACTATTAGATAAATTTTTGCACAATTTTTAATAAAATTAAAAATTTTGAAATATTGTCATATATATAATTTTATTACTTTACCAATGTTTTTTCTGTTTTTGTTATAGCATTCTCTCCTTGACAATAACATGAATAAAAACTAGAGTCAAATAACTATTTAACACTAAACATTATGGTTCAATTGAAAATGATTGACTTGAAACTATTGATGAAAAGAAACCATTTAATTATACCAAATTGAAATCATAAATAATAAAAGTTCATTGCTATAATTAAGTTTATTAGTAAATCAGTTTATCATTTGCACACAATGATAACAAGGTTTTATTGAAAATAAACTTATGCATAAAAATATTCAGGGCAAATTAGTTGACTACAGTTTCATATTTAATTAAACATTAAAACTATTAGGTAGATACACAAGTTAGAATATTCATATTTCAAACAGAATAGATTGAAAACTTAAATAATGATTTAAAATTTATTTACTGACAAGTAATTCAAACATTTTTTGTGCCTCATTTTAGTGCAGTATTAAGTTTTCATGCCTTTTATTTGGTTCAAAAAATTATCAAGGCTGCTTCAATCATGAACTTCAAAATTCATCCAACAGTGACTTTTAAAAAAGTACATGATACTTGTCAATAGATAAAAGATATTCAATTCTATTCTGTGGACCAAGATCTTGTTTTTATATAGGAAATTTGCTAAGATATTTTACGTTTACCTGTCTTGACTCACTTTAATGAGGTACAACTGATAAAAATATTAAAAAGTTGGCTTGACTATGCATTGAAGAGTTCTTAAACTATATGAAAATGCCCTTAGTTGAAACAACGATTGAAATAGATTTCAATTTTAAATTTTGTTTTTATGTCTTCACTATCAATTATTCGAATGAAAAAAAGCATTGAAATGAATAAAGAGTAGATCTCAATTACTCTAAAATTCAATTTCGCAATGAAAAGATAGATTTTAGATTGTCAAAAAATTCGGGCAACGATGCAGCTCAGTTGATTAGCAAGTTAATCAAACACAAAATAAAGGCAACAGCAAAAAACATTTGTAGAAGAAAAATCAATGCATTAGTCAATTTTTGATCAAATATGTTGAAAATTTCATAGAGCCCCAGTTGAAAAAAATTACGTAGATTTCTACGTGAATTATCCACGCAGATTCCGCGTGGGAAATACGTGGATTCTACAAGGAAAGTGTATTGATTCCATGTGGAATCTGCGTGGATCATTTATATTGTAAAAATCTGCAAAGATTTTTCGGTTATCACTTGAAAATTTAAATCCACGCTCGTATCATTCTTCAAGGAATAACCGAAAAATCTTGGCAGATTTTTACAAAGATGATCCACGCAGATTCTACATGGAATCAATGTACTTTCCACACGGAATCTGCGTGGATAATCCACGTAGAAATCCACGCAATTTTTTTCAACTGGAGCCTATATGTTGTACGTTCCCCGTAAAAGTTAGGCCACAAAATGGCAGATAAGTGAGCTAAGGCAAATATATCTTGGCTTCTGTATCCATGAGGAAATTAAAAAAACCATAGAATATTTTGCCCCAAAGGAGTAAAAAACTGGAAAGTCATAGAGTACGTAGAATTCGTCAGCCAAGGCGAAACCAGGTTTTTCATACCTGCAATCTGCATACATAGACAAAGAAAATTGAAAAAAAATTGTCGATAAAGCAGAAATTTTATGACGCTTTGATGGGTCTATTATTATGCGTTATTGATTGATTGGGGGTCCGGAACTGTGAATCTGGCAGTGAATTGTGTGCAGTGGAATTACACTACTTTTTTATATACCGCTGGATAGAGAACAAAAATCTCATTAAGAACAGATAAATTAAAAATTTGCTCGACTTTCTCTTTATTAGTTGTTTGAAAAACCGTCGAAAGCTACTTGGAACTTTAACATTAAATATCTAAGTTCTCATTGCTGTTAGCGCTTTAAAATATTCTTATAAAAACCTCATTAAATGTTCGACCGTGAGATACATGTGAGCATTTTGTAAAACAAATACATCGGTTAAAATAAATAACAGGTAATATTCATGTAATCGCAACGGTGGTTCGACACTTTAAATCGCTTATGCTGCGCGCGCATGTTGTAATATGACCAGTCACCGGTGGGCAGTGGCACTAGCAACAAGCAGACAATGTTTACAAAGTTAGTAAGCGGGTGTTTATTTTTAATTTTAAGGATTCAATTCAGGGCCACTATGTGGAAATTCATGACATTCATTTTCCAGTTTTGCAGCCTGCAGCAGTTCTCTTGGTTGTGCGCCATCTTGACCCCTAATTTGTGCTCCTCCATTCAAGCATCATCATATGTAAAATACAGTGGAGACCGTTTATAGCGAGGCCGGTTATAGCGAGAAACCGACTATAACGAGCAGATTTTGGTTGTTCAGTTGATTTCTGTGTAATAAATATAGGAAATTGTACCGATATAACGAGTACGATATAGCGAGTAGTCCGGGTATAACGAGGTATAATTTTGAAAATTTTTGAAAAAATTGACGTTTATAACGAGAAATTGGGTGTCAACATTCTGCTATTTTTGTATTATTAAATTTTATTTATATTAAACAAAGCAATTAACACAGGAATAACAACATATATATGTAAACAAAGCTTGTAACTGAGCACGTTCAATGATCAGTCGTACAGTTGCCTTTGCGAAGAGTATTATTAATTTAAAATAAAAATTATTTTGAAAATGGAAATTGCAATTTTGAAGAAACGAAAAACCTTATCAATAAATGATAAATTCTTGATAATCCAAGATCTGCAAAATCAAAAATCGCATACACAAGTTTGTAATGCTTATCAACTATCATCCTCAACTGTATCGACGATTTGGAAAAATCGCGAAAGTATCATCAAATCCTTTGAGGAATGTAGAGGATCTATCAAAAAAAGGCGCACTTGTAAAAACCCGGACATCGATAAGGCTCTCTACAAATGGTTTCTCCAGAAAAGAAACCAGAATGTGCCCATCAATGGACCAATTTTACAAGTGCAAGCTGATAAATTTGCAGCGATTATCGGTGATACCGACTTTAGTTGTAACCATAGTTGGATTTCAAGATTTATCAAGAGGCATGATATTTCTTTTGGTAAAATATGCGGAGAAGCAAATAGTGTCGATTTTTCCAAAATAGATACGTGGAAAACAGAGCGGTGGGATAAAATTAAAGATCAATACGCGGAGGATGATATTTTTAACGTCGATGAAGCAGGTTTGTTACGTAGTAATTGTACAATTATTTTTAAATTGTAAATTAATTTAAATATTAAATTCAGGAGTTTTTTACAACCTCATGCCGGATAAAACTTTCCGCACAAAAGGAGAAACTTGTGCTGGTGGAAAGTTATCGAAATTGAGGGTAACAGTTCTGATCGGAGCAAATATGACAGGAAAAGAAAAAAGAAAATTGTTCGTCATTGGAAAGTCAAAAAATCCTCTGTGCTTTAGAGGTGTCAAGCAATTGCCAGTAAAGTATAACGCAAATACTAAATCATGTATGACTGCCGAGCTTTTCGCCTCAGTATTAGCCGAATGGGATACCGAATTGAGAAAAAAAAATAATAGAAAAATATTACTTGTTGTTGACAATTGTGCGGCACATAACAAGATACCGAGTTTTCCAAATATAAGTTTAATTTATTTTCCTCCGAACGTAACGTCGGTGTTACAACCAATGGACCAAGGCGTTATAAAATGTTTTAAGGGCATCTACAGAAGAAAACTAGTATTAGAGTACATCGACAACTTAAATCGAGGAATTACAAACTGTAATGTTTCTCTGCTACAAGCAATTCGTTTCATGGCTGAAGCGTGGAATGAAGTAACAGAGAAGACAATTCGAAATTGCTTCATAAAATCTGGTTTATGTAGGGGAAACTTAGTAGAAAAAGACGATGACAATGAAATGAGATTATCTGATTGGCTGAGCTGTAATCAAATACATCACAGTATACCTACAGAATTCATCGACAACTACGATGAGGATGACATGGAACTTCCAGTAGAGGCTTCTTATTCTGATGCGGAAATTTTGAATGATGTGCTCGCACAAGAGAATATAAATGACGAAGCAGAAATTGAAAATGAAGAACATACTGAAGAAATCGAGTTCGCATCAAGTTCTGAAGCTTTATCAGCATTAAAAGTACTATCGAGGTTTCATGAGACTAATGAACTTAACAACGATAATTTTTTTACGTATTGGTCTAAAATGAAAACAATTGTCACTAATTTCCATTTGAAAAAAAAAGCTCCAAAGCAAATACAACCCACAATTTTATGTTAGATGAAGGAAAAAATTGGAAAAATATTGTATGATATTATTTTATCATTATTATTCATGTAAAGGAAATGAATAATGCATATAATAGTGATCCGATCAATAAATAATCGTTTTTTCTGCGTAAATGCCAAAAAAATCGTTTCATTAACCTATGTCGGATATAGCGAGGTCCGGATATAACGAGAGCTTTTCAGTACCCTTATGAAAATTTTCTATAGGATCCCGCAAAATTCCTACAGGTGTCCTATAGGATTCCAGTAGGAATTTTGCGGGATCCTACAGAAAATTTTTATAAGGGTGGTTTTTTGAATCTCGTTATAAACGGTCTCCACTGTACAAAGTTAACAATAGTCTAGTATTTATATTTAATAAAAATTGTCTCTTAATGTTCAAAATTATGCGTATGGGGCAAGCCGTAACTTCAACATAGTCATAAGGACTGAGTTGAGGACTGATTTGAGTTTTTGAACAAGATTCTGAATATTTCTGAATCCATTATATCAAACCTTAGTAAATCTTTTTCCAGAGTAGCTTCTTGAAAATCTGGATTTCTAAGTGGCTTGAGCTCTAATTTAGCATTTGTTAAATGGAATAAATTATTTGCAGCATATTCAAATATGAAATTTGCATATCCTCTTGAATTAGAGCCGTTATGACCCAATAAAATAGTATTATTTTCTTGATCCTGTTCTTGGAAAGGTTTATCTTTTTCAGCTACATCAAAATCGTTTAATTCTTTTCTTTGTTGAGTCAACATTTGCTCAATTTCAACTACAATAAATCATTATAAATTAATTTTTTATTTCTCAATAAATATTTTTTTACTTTGATCAACCAAGCTGCAGTTATAACGCAGTCTACATCTCTGGTTTCCTTCAAACTATTATAAAAATCCTGTCTTGAAGCTTCTAGCTTTTTGTCATAACAAGGCATGAGAGTAATACGATACAATTGCTCAGGAGACAATCCTTTTAAATCAGCAAAGTGATATTTTACCAGTGATCTCATAATCTGTTGAGATGATTTCGTAACACCAATGTATGGAAGTATAAAATTTTCATGAGTTTTTTCAGCATGGCAAACCAATCCTGAGATTAAGAGTAACTAGCTGCTAACTTGGGGCATTTTTTAGTATTGATTCACGATGTTGCTGTGTTAGCATCTGCTGTCAACAGTAGCTGCTGTAATGTTGAATAATTTTTAGTATAAATAATAAATTAAATTAAATGTAATCAATAGTTTAACACACAATTAGTCTGTAATGACAATAAACTTACTCCAATGAATACCTGAATAGATGTGTTTTGTAGAGTGTAGCTGTTGTGGAGTAAATGTGATTTGTAGCTTAACGAGCTGATGCAGCGTACCTTGGAACAAGAACGCAGCATATTGGTTCCTTCCAGTTCATAATTTCAGGACAATAGTAACAGAGTTTACCCATGTTCAAACGGCCCTTTTAGAGAGTTGGTACTGGATGAGGTGCCTATACACACCTGGAAGTAATATTTTTAATAAATATAAACAATTTATAAAGAAATTTATTGTAATTAACCTTCATGTCAACTTACTTGTTTGCAAAGAAACATGGTTATTTTGCAGCCTTTAAGACAGCGATTGACGGTTCTCATAAAAATTTTTGAAAGTCTTTACTAACTTTGTAAACATTGTCTGGTCGTTGCCAGTGCCACTGCCCACCGGTGACCGGCCATATTACAACATGCGCGCGCAGCATAAGCGATTTAAAGTGTCGAACCACCGTTGCGATTACATGAATATTACCTGTTATTTATTTTAACCGATGTATTTGTTTTACAAAATTCTCACGTGTATCTCACGGTTAAACATTTAATGAGGTTTTTATAAGAATTTTTTTAAAGCGCTAACAGCAATGAGAACTTAGATGTTTAATGTTAAAGTTCCAAGTAGCTTTCGACAGTTTTTCAAACAACTAATAAAGAGAAAGTCGAGCAAATTTTTACTTTATCTATTCTTAATGAGATTTTTGTTCTCTATCCAGCGGTATATATAAAAGTAGTGTGCTTTCAATTCCACCGCAAGCTTCACAAAGCTTGCGTTGCCCTCTGCATACCTGCCATTTTGGCCGTTCGTTTTTTAGTGCTAGTTTACCGAGCGCGCACTAACAACGTCAACGCACAGTCAAGCACACTGGCCTTGAGCCTGGAAAAAAATGATTTTTGATCGTTTTTAATGGTTCTTTGTCGATTTATGATTTTTTTTAACTCTATGTGCCTATTGATTTACTGCGTGAGCATTTGAACTTATTTTTCCTATAAGAATCATAGAAAATTTTCACAAATCATCGTTTTGTGTTCTGAGGTCGAGAATAAATTTTTTTTTATTCTTTATGTTGTTTCGACTTTTTGAATAATTTTCATTTTCACTTGACTGTTTAGCTAAAGCACCAGAAGGTTTTTGATTTTATCAAGAAAAAAACTAAGAGAAAAAGATTGGAAAAAAAATTGTCGATAGAGCAGAAATTTTATGCCGTTTTGATGGACGGTTTATTATTGTGCTTCATTGATCGATTGAGCGAATAGCCGCTACCCTCTTTAAAGCTGCCATCTCTAGACTTGTTAAGTTAGCAAAACTTTTTCTAAATGTTAATATTTTCGATCGGAGGTGGGCTTAAAAAATTTCTCTTCACTTGCAGATTATGTCTCCACTCTTATTTTTACTTTTGGAGGTAGCGTTAATTAGTTATAAACAATTAAAAATCAGAGATTTTTTCGCTGCGTTGGATTCACTAAGAGTATTAAAAATTTCTCCATACTTGCGAATTATGAACGAAAAAGAAAATGTATAATAAATTCATTAATAATAAGACGCAAGTATATAAAATATCCATAAAAGTACAGGTTTTGACAGGTCTTGGGCCTTGATGCGAGCGCAGCTTTGAGACCGTTGTCAGTAGTAGTTGTATACGATTATAGACTGTTGCCAATTTATTGGCAGAAAGCGTTCTCGTAAAAAGTTATATGAAGAAAAGGGTTTGGTTATTAAAAGAAAAATTCATATTTCATTGTTCGATTTTGAATTCCGGTTCATATTTGTATACGAAACTCCAAAAATAATTACAGATTTCTTTAATTTCGTGTAAGATTCCCTTGTTTCTATGTTAGCCAACATGCATAGAAGGCAAATATACATACAGAGACATTTGTAATCTCTCCCATCTTTGCCAGTACACAGACGAGCCGACGATCTGAGCCTTTGAGATACTTTCATCTTAGCCAGTACCCAGACAGGAGAATGATCTAATCATTTGACATACTCCCATCTTAGCCAGTGCACTAACAGGACGATGATCTGAACCTTTGACACAGTATCGTTATATAATATTTGCGATCATTTGCGAATTCCATATGTGCATTGTACATTGTACATGTAAATGTGAAACATAGTTTGAGTAAGTAAGAGGGAGAGTAATGAGATAGAATAAGCTATATAAAAAGAAAGTAGGTAATTTCAATGTTTTTACTCCGTGGAATCAATATAATATTGAATAGTTTAATTTAATTTTTTTTACACGATTATAAAATTGGAAAATTTTTTAATTTTAGTTGGAAGGAAATTTTAGATGGCGTGTACTCACTTTTACGCATTAGATGAACGCATGCATTTATTGAAAATGAAAATTTAACTTTGCATGCGAATGATAAGTTTCTTAGCCTAATGACATATAATCATACATCGTAACATGTAGGTTGTTTATCTATGTCATTGGTTCAAACCGGGTGTTATAGAGTACGGATCGTCTGCTGGAAATGATGATATTGGACTTACATAGCTGGAAAGGACATTGTATTCTATCGTACAAATCACGATGCAAATTCAGAAAAATTATTTTTGATAGATATCGGAAGAAATATCACGAGTGCGAGGGACAAAAAATGCAACTTTTAATAACACGCAGCATCCATGGTTTTATCTTGATTTATTCGCACTCGCACACAGTCACAGAAATACAATGGTTTAATTAAAATTGCGACGTGATTGCACGCATGGTGCAATTATCATTGAAAAGCGCACCTCGGACAAAAAATAAGTATTCTTCGATTCGACGTTAAGGTCAAGCCGCGCTATGTAACGAATTCCAGTTGAATAACTTACAGGCTTTTTATATGAACAGAGACGCACTGTTTGTATTGTCAGGCACGCGGAGGCAACACAGCTGGACTCGACCTTCTATGCTCCAAGCGGAGGCTCGACGCATGTAATTATTTCGGATCATCGACTACCTGTTATACGCATCGAAGAAATGAATTTTCACTTCCGACACCGACTCTTGAGGATATAAATCATTGTCAATGATATAATATCAATCTAAAAATAGAAACACAATATTATAACTTATCGTGAAACGGCGATCGCTTTATAAATATTTATCATCACATGTCTTTTTTGTTTTTCACACATTTATTATCTATCGTAGTCGAATAACACATTGACTTCATCGAGACGCATTAAAACTCGTCACGTATAGATGCGAATGACGTAGACGTAATCTTTGTTAATTACCGATTTACTCGTAGCACCAAAGCAAAATAAAAAAAAAATATTCGCAACTAATTGCTGGAGGGGGATCGAGAGATGTAATGTGACAATTTTTATGTTACATGCACATTGTACATTGTTTGTAAAGCATTATTGCGTCGACACGAATTAATTCTTGTACAAGTAGAAATTTGTTTATTAAAAGTGACGCGTTGCAAGTGAGCAGCAGAGTCACGTTATGAGTGATGGCGAACGTCGGATCGCTCACGTGCCATACATATCGTCGGCCGTCTGCATTTCGTCGTGATAATTAATTTCTTAAAATTTTCTATATTAATTCTACGAAATTATTACCATAATAGTTGCTACTATTATAAACTCGTTGGATTGGTACAGTTTCGCACGAGTTAATGACGACTTATCTGATTGATTAATCAGATGCTAAACCACTTTGATTTTTTTTAAATTATTTAAAAAGAAATACCTGTTCGCTTAATTGCTTAATTAAATATCTCAGATGTCGTTTACGAAAACCAGTATAAAATAATCTGGTATCTAGTTAATTTCATTCATTTTCATAAATTCTTTATGTAAATTAACACATTGGGTCATCGACGAAAATTACATTAAACCGACTCGCGATGCAGTTGTTTGCTCAGTGCACTTCTATCTGCGGATAGCAGGGTGAGCATACCATCGATAAATAAATTTTCTTGGCACACCGATAGATAAGAATTTATGTGTGGAAACAAAGATTAAGCGCTATTAGTGCGAGAATAAAAAAGGGGTTGGGCCGTGTACGACGCGTACAAGTGGCGAGGCTTGATTCACCGTTATTGACTTCGTTTTGCGCTTGTATAATATATCTCTTTGTCACTCGAGCGCGGAATATTACCCAGCATAAAACGACACCGCGATCGGTAAATGTTTTTTTTTACTTTTATTTTCGTCCCTTTCTCATACGTGTGTAAATTCATTCAAGATATATCAAAGGCTTAGCGGTATTTTGTCAATCGAAATACTCAAGCTAAAAATAGATCGCCCCCTTCGCTAGCACAGGCGAATAATAAAGACAATAATGCGATATTATTGTATTGAGTGCGGAGTCGGTGGTGATTCAGGTCATTTCACCGCTTGACAAAACTATATACACGCCGAGTGGCCACGAAGAATTGCTAAATTATGCCTATTTCATGAATCTGTCCCCCTCTTTTTTTGCTCTAATATGCCACACTGAAAATAGCCGAGCCGCTTTCGAGTTAAAGATTTTACATATCGAATGCAGAAACACAGCACATGTGCAGAATATGATTTTTTTTTATTATTTTTTCCTCCAAATATTAAGGGCTAAATTATTGCCGGCATCATCCGTTACATACGTCAATAAGTGATGTTTCCCGCACCGCATATATTACACAGATGATCTACTCTATATACAGCGAATTATCTACAAGTATTTCAGACCTCGTCATAAGTATGCAATATAGAATAGGCAGGCGACGCTGAGAGAAGAGGGAGGAAAATAGAATGAACGTTAGACCAGCAGCAGCAGCAGCGTGTGCCAAATCCCAAATATTTTATGCATGGGCTTTTGATAATCCAAGGGGAGAAAGAGAGAGAGTATAAGAGCAAGCCACGAAACGAGCTATATTCATTATGTTTCTTGCGCGAGTTGTATATTATAACCACACACCGCATAAAATTGCCACCTAATTATTTCAGTGACTCGTTGCGATCGTGAAATTATAATAATACGATGCATACGGGTTGTTCTATATGGAGTACAAACAATTTTTAACATTTAGCGACTTTTACATACAATCTCCACTTTGATACAAGACGTGTGCCGAACATTATTTTCCGTTGTTTTTTTATGAAAAAGTAGCACGTAAACTAGGTTTGTTACGGTACTCCATCATGTGATTAATGACTTGTTAAATTGCTTGATACCGAAACAAATGAAATTACAGTTTTCGTACATCGGTATCTTTCTACACAACAGACCCTTCATCATACTTCAACCCTGATTTAGGGTCAATTATGAAGTAGCCGCATGGCTCGTCGTTATTGAAAATGGCGTAAAATATAGGGTCAAGATTTTTTTTCTAATAGAAAAATTATATCTTTTTTTTCAATGTACAGCTC